AGCCTAGCTGCCTCCTCCAGCTGACAGAGGGATCGCAGCCATGTGAGGAGCTTAGGGAGGGCAGGCAGGGCCTCCTGCCCATGAATTCCTGGGAATGAGACTTCATCTACGTCCTGGATGTCTCTCCCAAAATACTGCCCAGTCTGCCTGCAGTCAGCGTGGGGCTGGTGTGCCACAGGCCCTGAAAGGTGAACGGCTGCAGGGCCACTTGCAGTCCTCAGCAGCCAGGTGTAAAGCTGCATGGATGGTCACACCTGTGAGAGAGAGGTCACATCTCCACCGCTGCAAAGACTGGCTGACCCCTCCAGCTCTGCTGCCCTCTCTCCTGACTGGTGGCAAGGTGACTAGTGCAAGCCTCCAGCCCTTCAGGGGCTAATAAATCCACAGTTGCTGAATAACACAGCAAGTCAAATTGCTTTATAGAGCTCAGTGCTTAAAGCTAATGTTAGATAACATATTATAGATGGCTGTTTTTCCATCGGTGCCAGCCTTGCCTGAACAGCACAAGCCAGGAGGGTGAAATGTCCCCCTAGCCCCTCCGTGGGGTGCAGGGGCTGGTGGAGTCATGATGCCATCGCTCCCTCCTGGGCAGGACAGGGACCTGGGGCCCCAAAGATTTGGCCTATAGTGTTGGTAAGTAGGAGAAAATTAATTTCTCAGGTCATTTTACAAATTCCCTAGCAGGTGGGTGCCAGGAACAAACTGGTCCACTGGGGGCTTTTCATTCTCCAACCAGCAGAAAAATTTGTGCATTTTTCCTCCCTGAAGTAATTATATTTGGCCTCAAACCCAGTGTGAACAAGACAGATGCAGCCAGGAGGTGATGTTTTACACACCTAGACACCTTAGGGAATAGACTGGTACTTCCACAGCTTTCAGTCAGTCCCTCAGACTCATCCTCACCAAGATAAGAGGACAGGTAGGTCTGATGGAACCAACCACAGGAAGAGCAGCTGTGGGGTGTGCTTGTGGTCAGTGAGCACAGAGCGAAGACTTAATAGATGTGCGGGAGGAAATGCACAGCCTGGGAAGGGCAGAAAGCTGGAGTCAAGGGGGGATGGCTCTGAATGCGCTTTCTGGGAACCTGAACCAGAAGCTTCTCTGATAACTAATTTGCACTGGTGTGTTTCCTGCCCTCTTCCTGAAGGCCAAAGGAGCCCAAGGCTGACTAAGCACTAAGAGCCGTTTGCAGAGTGGTGCCAGGCAAGTGGTGATGCAACTCTGGTCTGCCCCTCCTCAAGGTGACAGGAGGGAGGGAAGCCTGCCTGCAACAGGAGGACTTTGGGCACTCCTGGGACTTCAAAATGCATCTGAAAAGGTTAGGTAAGCTGGAAACTTCAGATCTTCACAGGACAGGGTCCCTGTGTGGCTGCTGACCTTCCAAACATGACAGAGGGTTGCCCTCACCTGTCTTTTCCATAGCTGAGACAGTCTTCAGAGACTTTGCCCTCTGCCAAGGGGAATTTGCTCTCTGGTCCCTACTGAAACCTCTCTGACCTCCCTCCCTCCATTTCCCACTTTTGTAGATATTGAGTCCAGCAACTCAACCCTCCCAGATCCTTTGGTGTTTCTCTGAGGACTCAGAGAGCGTGGCAGAGGTCAGGTCCTGCTTTCTGGACCAATGAGCTGTTATGGACTTATAGATATACATAACCATTTTGGGAAAGGCTTTCTTTTACCATGGTGAGAAGAAAAGCTGGTAGAGGGCAAGAGTGAATGGTGGAGCATGCTGGGGGAACAGTCCAGGGGCCAGGAAAGTCATGGCTACCAAGGCTTCCCCCCTGCACCCAGAGCCCACTCCCCCACAGCAGCGTAGGTCAGCAGCTCCAGCTGAACTCCTCCGAAAGGGGCTTCCAGCAAGGGAGAACGTGAGGATGGAGCCCAGCTGCTGCTGATGTTGCCATCCAAGCTCTGCCTGGGTTTTTTGAGGAGAGCCTTGTCTCTTTAAGATTCACTTTTGGATTGTATTTTGCTGGCTGCTTCCAGTATTTTCCCTAGTATTCCAGTATTTCCATGCTCCTGGGCTCCCAGTAGCATAAGCCACTCCACACCGTATCTCAGTTCTTTTTGCACTTTTCAACACTTGTTATGAATCTCTGCCAAGGAACCTGATAAATTTTTTTCCCATTGAAGGGAAAGGATTTTGGACTATAGAAGAAAATCTCCATTGTATCCAAAGTGTTTCTAGGCTAGAATGAAAATCCCTGGAAACTAAGGGAATCCTTAAAGGGACATGATAGGAAACACTCAATGGAGACAGCTTATTGTGTGTGACTGTTCCACTCACGAGGACAAGTTCAAGGCCCTTGGGCTGAAAGAACAATATGGGTTATTGTTACATCTTATATCTCATTTTAGAATGTGAAACTCAACATCCCCTCAGCATCAGGAACCAGCCAAAACTCGTGGGCCACCAAAGCTGCTGTGCCCATCTCTGCTGGAAACCCATTGTTCCACATACCATTGCTGTGACAGGGCTCAGAGCTTGTTTATGGGCGAGGAGCCTTCCTTTTCTCACAGCCCTTTGTTTTTTTGTGACCAGTAAAATGATATAAATCAGCTGCCTCTCTTGCTTTGCAGGATGGACAGGAAGATGCCAGACTGTTGTATAGGCGTGGGTGTTTGTGAAGATGTGATACTTTTCCTTATGCAGGCAGAGGAGTCACTGCAGATCAGCAGAGGGATATTTCCACATTTAGGCTCAGCCTATTTCCCTGTCATGTTGTAGCACAGCAAATACTGTCTTACAGACCTTTTCTGCCTGGCAGGTGAGATCCAAATACATATATACCACTGACTGCAAGCCCATGAGAACATGTATTTCCCCTACTCTGCACATTTCCTCTAAAGCATTTGGGCTATAAGGTGTTTCCTTGTCAATAAGTGCTATAATACCTGGAAAGGAACAGGGTTTGCCACGGACCGCATTCAAGCATTTGACTAGTTCCACAGGCTGTGGAAATAACAAACCATAAATAAAGTTTGCAGAAGATCAGGGCACAAAAATACCAATTGAAAGGAATATCCAAACCAAGAGTGGGTTAGATAACCTTGGGGAAGAGTGAGCAGGCTGCACATTTCTGCATCCTCAGGCTTGCACTGCCCCTTGCTGACAAACTCTCTGTCATGGGACGAGAAATACTGCAGGAACAGACGTCCTGGGGGTGGAAACATCCTCTCCTTTTGTCAGACTCCTGCATCACCCCAGGCACAGCCAGCTGGAGGGTCTGTCCTGGGGAGGGCTCCCTCTTGCAGCTTCTACCTGAGACTCCAGTATGATTTTTCAGTTCTGACAGGATGGCGTGGGTGGACATGTGAGCACACAGCTGTGGAGGAGTCTATGTTTCCATGCTGGCCCTGCACATGCCCCCTTCCGCGGCTGGTTCTCCAGCCTCTTGGCAGAACACGTGAATGACATTGGCAGGGTAGCAAGAGTGATGCAGGAAGATACAAATGCCCTGCTAATAAACCCAAGTTGCCTCTCTCCCAGTGATTTAACTGCACTGATTCTGATGCATCTTCCTGCATTAGGCTACTTGTCATTTTCCCTGCCAGCATCCCCTTCCTGCAGAAGAGTGGCCTGCATTTGTCACAAGGGGAGATAATGTGTCCCGGATGCCAGTGCTAAAAAACAAATAACTTGCTCTACTACAGCACCTGCCAGCTGGAAGTTTCAAAGCACTTTGTAATCATTAACAGATTTAGCTTCCTAGCCCTGATCAGGGGAGTTTCATCTCTGCAGTAAGAGGAGTAAAGTAGGGTCTGGAGGTAAAATGATGAGAAAGTAAGAGGAAAACTGAAGTGCTCTGGATACTGCTTGAAGGTGTCCATGGGGTGGGGGGAGCTACTTCAGTAGAGGGGTACTGGGCTGGGATTAAGCTGGTCAACAGGTTTTAATCCCAATTCTTCCTTTCACCTCCCCTCTAGGTAATCTTGCTTTTCTATATCTTAATTTTCTCATCTACAAAAAGAAGGTACTGGCTCACTTCTCCTTGTAAGAAATTCTGAAATGTAATCCAGTATCTGAGATACTGGAGAAAAACAAACACTGTTTGTGATTTCGGGAAGTGATCTCTAAGGAAGATGTGGACATTCAAACACCAAATATAATAGTATAACATTGACATTGCGTGCACTGACCAATGGGACCCAGGTGGGTGCTGGGGAGAGAAGCATAGAAAGTGGTGAAAAGCAGCACTGAGAGTCTTCTTCCCTAGTTAATCACATAAAATCAGACACTATTTCTGAAACCTTGTAGTAAGAATTGTCACTAGAGTCCAAGAGCCATAGCCAATCAATGCAAGAGGAAAAAGGCCTGATGAGTATTGCTGTGTACCTCTGGTACACCAGCCTAAGCAGGTGAACTGCATTAAGTGATGCTAATGTACCCATTAAATGCTGCTAATGGAGCTCTAGGCTCCTGGTGAGGTCCATTTTCCCTGTTGGGTGTGAAGGAGGAGGGCAAGAAGGATAGTGGCAGTGAGATAATTTGAATGCTGTGTTGTTGCCTGGAAAGTCACCCTTTTCTCCATTTCTGACTGTGTTTTCAGGTTAGTAAATCTTCCTTTTAATTATATATACATTCCTAATCAGCAGCAGAGGTCCACTACTATTCTTCCTCTCTGTATCTGCAAATATACTCAACCATCCTGAGAGCAGGTGCTTCCCTTTGAGGAGGGGCTGTCGGGGTGCAGGCGAGGGCCCTATTCACTCCTTGCACACAGTGATGTGCAGCCTCACTGAGCTCAGCTGCTCCTGGCTCAGCAAGCTGGGCCTGGGAAGCCACAGGGGCCCTGCTGGGCTTATCAGCGCTCTCTGCTCATCATTTTTATTCTGGCACCAATCCCTGCTCCTATTTTCACGGGTGATACCACCGGGAGCTGGAGGATGGTGGGAATATCCCCATCCCCCTAGGGAGGGATGCTGCGGCTCTCCCTCCGGTGCTAGGTCTGTTCCAGACGCCTCCCCCGCTGTAAATCAGCCCTGGGGCGGCGGGGCCCGGCCAGGAAAGCGTTAACCTTCCCTGCAATGCTGCGTCCCAGCTCACGGTGGAGCTGCCTTCCTCTCTTCCACCCGCAACTTCCAATTCACTCCAAACAACTCCGGGACAGAATTGCAGAGAAAAAGCTGGAGATTCAGACTAGACTTGTTGATCTCCGTTCCGAGGCAGCAGAAGGAAGTACCGGAGCTTCCCTTTGTGTCTGCACGGAGAGAGGTCTGGCGAGGGGGGGGGCGGGGGCAGATGCGGCTTCGGCGTTGACTGTAGGCAGGAGTGAGGAGCCGCAGCCGAGGGAAGGCCTTGGAAAGCTTCCTGCCGAGGGATCCGACTTACCTCGTTTCCCTTCCCCTCCCCCCGGGCTCCGTGGACAGCCGGGAGCACGGCCGCCATCCCTCCGCCTTGAGGCTGCCCGCGGGGGGATGCGAGCGGGGCCGCCCCTGCCGCCCGCCCCGCCGCAGGATGTAGCCGCCCTCGGCCCCGCACAGCCCCGCACCGCCTCGCTGGGAGCCCGCAGGAGGAGGTAGGTGCGGGCCGAGGGAGAGGAGCCTTTCCCCGTGTGCAGCGACGGCCTGGAGGTAGCGGCGGTGTTTCGGTTTGGGGGGGCTGGGGAGGAGCTGGGGTCGGCGGAGAGCGGAGCCGAGCCCCGGGGCTGTGCCGGCTGGGCACGGAGGAGCCGTTCCGCTCTGCGCCGGGGCTTCTCTCCGTGCCATCTTGTGTAAGCAACAGTGCTCAGGGCTATCACAAGCACCCGGCTTGGCGAGGAAGCCTCGGGGTTTTTCCTGGTTCCGATTTTCGTTGATTTCCCTGTCATGCGGAGGTCGGCGTGAGGGGCGTGGGGGGGCGTCTCTGGGCAGCCCGGAGAGCTAGCGTGCGTCGTTAGTGTGGCTGGAAATCCCCCCTTTTCCCTTCCCCAGCTCTTTCCTCGAGGAAAATCACGACGCTGGAGTTATAAAAGAGCCTCCGCGTTTCCCTGCAGCCTACACGGCTGGACAGGGCGGGGGGCAGCGCCGGCTCCGAGGCGGGGAGTTGCCCCGGCTGGGTCATGGGGGCACCCGGGGTCCGGCGGCCGCGCTCCGGCAGATCCCGGCGGCGGGGCCGGGCCTCTCCGGGCTGGGGGGGGACAACGTGCCCGCCTCCCGCTGGCTACCAGCCCGGCGCTTTTCGAGGCGCATTGCTGAGCGGTGCTGGGGTGGGGAGATCCGTGCCCTCCCCTCTCAGCCGGCAGTCCCCAACCCTTTGCCAGCCGAGGTTCCCGGGGCCGTGCCGTCCCCCGGACGGGCTGTGCAAAGCGACCCTCCCGGGAAGAGGCGGCGGGGGGGCACCGGGGAAAAGGAGGGGGTGTGGGGGGGACACCCGGCCGCCGCCCGGGGGAGCTCGGCGGCAGCGCCCGGGCCGCCACGTGGGGAGCGGGCAGCCCTTCAGCACCGCGGGCGCGGACAGCGCCCGCCGAGCGCGGTTCAGCACCGCCGGGGCGGACAGCGCCGCCGCCCCCGCAGCAGATTAGCGGGGCCGGGCGCTCCCCCACGCGTGGATCAGGCCGCGCCGAGGCGGCCGCGGGCGCGGAGGTCAGCGGGCGGGTACCCATGGTCGGCCTCTCTTGCAGCTCTGGGGCATGGAGGGGAAGGAGAGGTGAGGAGAGCCGGCCCCCGCACGCCCTGCCCCACGCCGCACCTTGGAGCGTCCAGCCTGAGGGGGACCAGCGATGCCTCTGGGGATGAATAAGCATGGATCTCGCTCTACTACCTCTTTGCCTCCGGACCCCACGGAGATCGTCAGGAGCAAGGCCTGCTCCCGAAGGGTCAAGCTCAATGTGGGGGGGCTGGCCCACGAGGTTCTTTGGCGGACTTTGGACAGGTTGCCACGGACCAGGCTGGGTAAGCTCAGAGACTGCAACACACACGACTCCCTCATGGAGATCTGTGATGACTACAACCTGGAGGAGAACGAGTACTTCTTTGACAGGCATCCCGGGGCATTCACCTCAATCTTGAACTTCTACCGTACTGGCAAGCTGCACATGATGGAGGAGATGTGCGCCTTGTCTTTCAGCCAGGAGCTGGACTACTGGGGGGTGGATGAGATCTACCTGGAGTCCTGCTGCCAGGCCCGCTACCACCAGAAGAAGGAACAGATGAATGAGGAGCTGAAGAGAGAAGCTGAGACACTGAGGGAAAGGGAAGGGGAGGAATTTGATAACACTTGCTGTGCTGACAAAAGGAAAAAGCTCTGGGACCTCCTGGAGAAGCCCAACTCCTCCGTAGCGGCCAAGGTAAGATCTCCACGCTTCTTCTCAAGTCTTGTCTATATCAGCTCATGACTGATGATGCTTACATGAGGTGTTGTCCTGCTACCCTTGCTTTAATGTCTAGACACTTGTGGCTGGATGGATGCTGTGAGCGAAGGAGAGAAAGGCCTCTCAGATGCAGACAAGTCTGATGTCTCTTTTTTTTTAGGCAGTTTGGAAGGGATGTGGTGTGATCTTCCCTGGGGCAGCCTATGGTGCTCAGTGTGGGAGCAGCCTCACTGACCTGTGGGTCAGCATACACCGCTTGCTGTGGCTGGAGATTGTGGACTTGTTATCCAGTGGTCTGTCTTGGGACATTTTGTAATAGAGATTTCTCTGAGGCTAAAATGTGTGTCTCGCTGCTTAACCAAACTCTTAAGAAGAAGAAATCTACTTGAACTGTTAGACCCAGGCCTAGACAGGAAATAATGCCTTCCCTTCCAGGGCTTAATTTAAATTTTTGTGGTGAAATACATCTCCTAGATATTTGTATCATGCACTCCTAGGCTGTGGGTCTGCTAAAGCTATCATGTGAATTTCATCCTTTACCTGATTCCAGCCTATTTTAAGCCTCCCTGTGTAATACTGCTGCAGCCCTGTCTCTGTCAATAGTTGAAGTGCTGCTTACTCTGAAGTTGGTGCCAGTGCAACAGATCTATTTGAAGGTGTTTGGACAATAAGATCCATGTTAGGAGAAACCAATGTCAGAGTTGGCTCTGATAATTTAGCTGTCTCATGTTAGTCACATATTCTTTAGTGAGGAAAATCTCTGCGAACACAATGATTCAGTAACCATGGGGACAAAAGTAAAGGGGGAGAGGTTGAAAACTGTGGGATGAATAACTGAAAATCATGAGAGACTGAGCAGTAGGGACCAAAACTTGAATTTTCTACATACCTGCATCTTCACAGTATGACAAAGAAGCAGAAAGAGGCCCTAGCTACTTTTTCAATGTCACCTCCCTGTTGTATGTACACTTGCAAATGCAAACGTTGGCTCCATCCCATAGGAAGTCTGGCTTTGGTGGGCTATTTTATGAAAACACACTTCTTCTTTCCCTCTCTTTTATTGAAATGTTGCACATCATGAACCAAGAGCATGTACAAAAGTTTGGAGAAGGGGTTTTACGAAGTGTGGAGCTAAGTGGCTCATTCTGGCAGGGGAAGGGAGAGGCATGGTCGGCTGCTGAACCGATTATCACTTTTTTAAATGACAAGCGGAGCCCCAGAATGTCTTTTTCTCTCCAATGGCACAGATGACACTGTGCTGAATGCATTAATCATTTATAAGGCTCCTTTGGCACAGTCCTGGAATCCTGAAACACAGGCCCCGGGCTTTGCTGTCTGTGGCACTGACTCAAAATCCATTAGAGACTGTTGATGTTCATGATTTATTGTATATGAGCAGGGGTCATTCTTGCCAAATAAGTGTCTTTTGTAATTTATAAATGAAATGCACTCTAGCTTCATTTTCTGAGAAAATTCTCGGAGTAAGTGCATTCGGCATTACAGGCTGTGGATTAATTGAGAGTGAATGGTAATGCATTATTATCCTTCCCATTTAAAGCTACCATTCTGTGACTTCGTTACTGTGATGGAAATGGTGCTGTATGTTCTCAGACCTCAAATATTCCAGCAGTTCCCAAACACAGATTCCTACTCATTTCAAGTGTAGCAAGGAAAATGGACATGATGAACAATTAGCTTACCAGGCAGGGACAGAAGAGATGCTAAGCCTATTCTTGATCCGATTTTCTCCCTGCTGGTGGATAGCTTTTCTCTCATGCCAGAGTATGCCCTTTGCTTTGATCACCTTCCTGAGAATTAATTTCACATATTGAATAGGATGGACCCAGAATTCATCTTCAGATGGAAGGACGTGGGGAGAGGGACTTGGCAGCCTGACCCATTATCTGACCTAACCAGCTGTGCCCAGGCTCCCTTTCAGGCTGCATTTGCTAAATCTGAGCCTCTGCCTGATAGCTCCTGGCCAGCTTTCCTCGGCTGTCTGTTCAGTGGAGCACTTTTGCTGAGGCCATGGGCCTCCAGGAGCTTCTGTCACCTTTCCTAAAGCCAGACTCCATCTGCTTTACTGGGCCTGGGAGCTCAAACTGCTCCTGTAGAAAGGGAACAAAGTAAACTTCTGAGGTTTAATGACTGTGGCTGAAGGACCTAAAATCATTGTTAGGAAAATGTGTACTACTCTTGCTTATTCTTTTTCTTCAGACTTGTGCCACTCAGTGCAAAGTTTTTTCTATCCAAATGCAACAAATGCAGGCTACCTTCATGTTCTTTTTAAGAAGTCTAGAAAATGGCTACAGATGCAGGTTCTCCCCCAAACCCAACACATTCCCTCCCAAGCCATGCCCCATCGTCTAACTGCCACTCCAGCAAGGTGGGCTTTCTTGATGGCTGTCAGCATTGTTTGTATTTTAACATTTTCTGCACACCTGACCTGAATCCTCCATAACAGCTTACTGCAGAACTTCTCATGGTCATACTGGGTCTGGTTAAATCCCAAGAGAGCAAGTTGTTTTCTATTTGTGGCTGGTTTTGGCTTTTTTAAAAAAGGAATTATATGTGATGTACCTCAGAGTGGAAAAGAGCATTCAAATAAGAGATGAAGAATCCCCCCAGACCTTCATTTTTGTTGCTCTTTTATCCACTGGGGATTTACACGTATCTTTTGACTAATCTGTCTGGCTTTTAAACTAACCACCTCATGGCAAGCAGTGTCTTATTTATGTGTGATGCTTCACCCTGTACATGACTGTAAAGAACACAGATTTTATAATGCCCACTCTTTGAGAGCCTCCAGATTTCTATGCTGAGGCATCAGACAGCTGTTGAAGCCCCAGGATTGCTGCCTTGTTTGACCCCCCAGCACCAGCAGAGGGGTGTTTCCTCCTTTCCTCTAATGCTGCAGTCCCTCGCAGCTGTAACCAAAGCTGTCCCATCCTTGTGTGAGGTGCCATAGAGCTGCGGGGCAGCACCCAGCCCTTTCCCAGGGTTAGACTGTGCAACAGGCACCCAAACCATTTCACCCACCAGTCTGTTTAACTTGGAGGCCCTTGCTGTGTTGTACTCCCCTGCGCCCACCTTTGCTCAGTGGGAAAACCCCTATGCACAAAATTGAGCACTGAGGGACTCTCTCTCTACCAAATGAAAAAATATTTAACAGGCAGTTATTAAATAAAACCCTTCATTTGTCTCTCTCTCTATCCTTACAAGATATTTTAAAGGATCAGTTTCTCCTGCTTCCTGTGACTTTATTTGCCTGTATATCTCTGAAAAATACTCACTTTGTGGATGCTTCCTCCTCTTCCTGCAATCGCTGTTTTTGCATATTCCTGCTTATTTTTATCATTCTCCCAGTCTTCCTTAACAGTTTGATGGTTGGTTTTTGTGGTGTGTGGTTTTTTTTGTTTTGTTTTTTTTTTTTTTTTAAATAGCATTCCTCCTGTACTTTGGTGTACTCACAACATCCATTTTTAACCATAGAGGACACTGGTGCTCACTTCTGCCTGGATTTATCCCAGATGAAGATGAGGTGCAGATATTTTCTGGAGTAGCTATTACATTTGTTGTGTGGTAGTTTTCCTCTCCTCAGGAAAGAAAAGCAGCTCTGCATAAGCCAAGTGGAACTGCTACTTTTTCTTGGGACTTAGTGTCCATGTCAGGGCAGTAGCAGCTAGCAGTCGCCCAGCACTTGGGTTTGGGCTTTTAATCATAATTGCTCTTTTTCTCAGCGAGGCTGAGCCTGGGCAGCTGATTTCTGTCACCCAGAATCCAGTTTGCAGCCCTGGGTTTCCAAAGCAGAAGTCCTTCCTGTAGCTGTTGTTTTTTACTAACCAAGCTCATTAGGATCTGTGGGTGTCTCGCCTGCCTGGTGAGACATTTGTGCCCCTTGGGAGAACCAGCCTAGCTGTGAATCCAACTAGACTTCATGGCATCCTGAAAAATCACAGACTGCAGTTGTTCCATTTTTTCCAGAATAACCAAATAACAAATTAGACGAAGTCAATATCTTAATTAACTTATATGGTCTTGGAAGTCCTCTGATCACCTGGACCTTTCTAGCAACTCTTCAAGAACATTGCCCTTTTTGCCTCTTAGGAGGAAAATAAATCCTTTTTTCTTTTAGCCCTTACAAGTTATTTCCCCAATCAATATTTGAGCAATTAGTGTTGCACAGAGGAGTGTGGGGGGAAAAGTCTGCTCGTCTTACAGACTCCTCTGCATGTGCTGGTTTCATCTATTTTTCTCTTGCTGTCCTGAAGGCTGAGAAAAACATGATGACATCACCCACTTTGCAAAAAGCTTCTCTGCATATCTGCATGTCAAGTAGGATGTGCACTTCCTCTCCTCCTCTCTGCCTCCACTTCTCACTTGTCCCTGTCCTGTTGGGAGCTCAGCTGCAGCAATCCCTTCGTTCTGGCAGGCTATTTCTTACCCTTTCCCCCATTCCCACTATGTCTTTGCCAGTGCAATAATATCACATTTATCCTTGAAAACATGCAACTCCAATTCAGTAATCTTATTATGCATGCCTCTACATTTGTTGAACAGCTTTTCTCGAGCTGTCCACTGCTCTCTGCCGTTAATCTCTGGATGCATTGCTTAGGGATTGGGGAGGTTGCTCTGTAAGATCTTTTCTTATTATTGTTGATAGTAGTGACAAAATAAGAATGATAAAGACTCTTGGAGATGCATTCGCTACATCTAGAGCGTTCTTCCCCCACATAGGCTTTCTATTCCTGGCCCTCCCTTATGGCATGCAGTTTTCATTCATCTCTAAACCTGCCTGAATTTAGCATTCAGCAGAGGAAACCCCTCTCCCTAATTGCAGGGGTCACATTTTAGACATCTCATCTGTCTCTGTGACTCTCATCAGCAGGCAGATGTTGACTTTGTCTGTTAAAGACATATTTTCCATATTTTGTTTGCATCTGTGACTTTCATTTTTCCGATGCAGCTACTGCCTT